AAAAATAATTGAGAGATACAGTTTTTCAGGTGGACCTAAATTCTTACACAAGAACTTTTACCCCTCCCCGTTTTTGGTATTTGGGATTGAACCCAGGTTGCTTTGCCACTGAGCTATTTCTCCAATCCTTTTTTGTGTTTTATTTTGAGGCCAGGCCTCACTAAATTGCTGAGGGCAGCCTCGAACTTGTGATCCTGCCTTGCCTTAGCTTCCTGAATCACTGGATTACAGGCATGCACCACCACACCCAGTCTCAAACCACTTTTATGTTTTCCATATGCTGCATCATATTTCAAGTGGCATAATATGAGAACAAAGTCTTAAAGAACTGAATCCAACTTGATTTCTGCTAAAAATACAGCAAATCTTGGTATAATAGCTGGAAGAAGCCAAATTTCCCTGCTATTATTCTTCTCCTAGCACTTAATCCACATTTTCTTCCTTTCACATCCTTGAATCTGTATGGACTGGTTAGATAATAAAGAAGGAAGAGGGCACCCCTGGATATTTGTGTTCTTTGAAATTTCTAAACATTTGAAATGGGGCTTGAGTAGTATTTTTTATTTTATCTGATCTCCAGGGTCTTGTATCTCAATAAAGGCAAAGTGACCCTTACAAATAGATTACCACTTAGGAACTAATACCTAAACTATCTTTCACCATGACTTCAGTTCTCTCCTTTTAGCAACACAGAATGTACATGAAGCAACAAACTTTCCATATGCACAAGGAAGAAAAATCTTCCTTCTGTTTCTTCTATATTCTCTAACATTCCATTCCTTTCCTGATTTGTGTCTGATCAGCAAAGCTATGGAAATAGTACGCCTATAAGGAGAGCTTGCACATACAAAACCTATGCCAATTTCTTAAATCATACTCAACTGGAGAACAACGGTGTGAATTCTCATCATTTAAAGGAAATTTGATAATGAATTAAAATGATGTGTGATATATTTACAAATTCTAAGTACCTCACTACCTGATATCAATATAGTTTGGAAAAAAGGAATGTTATTTTATGCATGATATTAAACATAGACAAAATAAACTCTTCTCCAAATTACAGTAACTAAAAAATATCAATGAGCATTTATAATACTATAGACCTTTTAGGATTTCAGCTCTAAATAAACTGATGTGACTCATCTGGACAGAGGTTTTGGCAGAAGTGGGATGGTCTAATATGCATGACACTGATTAAAAACATTCTAAATCATGATGTATCTATGCTTACATCATTGCCAAAATGATTCATCAGTGTAGGATATATTCTTATTGCCAGAGATGTCACGTATCATCTTGGCTAGAAACACACAATCATATCCCATTATGGTGAACTCTCAGAGTTTATCCAAATTCTTTCTTCTTCTGGAATTTTGTCAGCTTAATACTGCATAACACACGTGGTCTTAAAATTTTCCATTCTAAATCTATTGCCATTTTGGCATGTGGCTGGATCTGGCCTTATGTGACCGGCATCACACTGAGAATGTTTGTGGAATTTTAAGTCTATAATGTTTATCTATTATAGACCTATTGACAGCCAGGAAAATGTCTGCATTTGAGACTTTTTCTAAGATAGTTTTCCCCCTAAATGAGATCATAAATAAATTTGATTTGATATTTTATTTATAAAATGTACTAAAAATCAAGAAATTTTGCTTAAATCTGCTTAGATTAAGCATAGCACTTATGATGTTATGGGCAGGCAAATTGGACAGTTAATTGACTTGTACAAAACCCTTACCACTGCATTAATTCTTGGTCATTTGAATTTTTTATTGGTATTTTAGGACAGATCATCATCAAAAAAAAGCACAACTAAACATTGGTCTTGAATACAACATTTATGAATCTGCTCTCACTTGTACTTCATTTTACAATCATACTCTAAGAATGAAGAGTTTATCTGAGAAATCTAGAAGGGCAACCGTCCTAAATCCAGGCACTGTTAGCTTTATGAACATATTAAGCACTCATTATATCACACAAAGTATTTATTGCAAATGGGCCTTAGCTACTAAAATGCATAGCTTCCTTTTATGTTGTGACTGGGTAATTTGAGAACTCTTTGGGCTGAAAATGTACAGAAAGGTTGCACACTGATTGTCAGCAGGGAAAACTGCCATCACAATCAATGCATGTAACATTCCTCACAAATTGCAAACAAGGGAATATTAGGCACCTGCAGTGCTTGTTCTCTTTCACTAAAAATGCCTGATTTTTCTGAATTGAACTCTGATGTAAAGTTCAGCGATACTTGGTCTCTGTTGAATTGTGGAGCTATGTACTATTTCTGGACTTGTTTTTAAAAGACACTTCTGTGCTTACAGCATCATTCTATTCTACCGTCTCTTACCTCCTTTCCAGATCTAGTACTACCAGAGAGAGCAACTGATGCTATGATCACTGTGGCTTTGTTTTGACCATTTTCTGTTTCAAGGATTTCCTATAGCCCCTCAGAGTGAATATACCATCACCACCACATTATAACCTTCCCCTGAGTTCCTAACAGGAATAGGAAAAAAAAATCTGTGGCCTTGCAGCCCCAGCAATCCCAATGATGTCTCACGTGTTGCATATTCTTTTAAAAAAATATTTTTTTTAGTTGTCAATGGATCTTTATTTCTTTATATTTGGTGCTGAGTATTGAACCCAATGCCTCACACATGCTAGGCAAGTGCTCCACCACAGAGCCACAACCCCAGCCCCTCATATTATTTTTTTGTGTTGCTTTTTACTTAAAATATTTCAAACTACTTCAAAAAGTACAAAGATAAGTTTTAAGAAGGATTAAATACTGCAATTTATTTTATATAATAAAATTCATTTTCAGAATTTGGAATACAGCTATTTTATTTAAAATTAATTCTAAGAAACTTTAATCATAGTTTTATTTTACTTAGTACAATTAATTTTTAAGAAGCTTTAAATATTGTAATGTGCTTTAAGCTCACTGGTAACAACCTAGAGTGTCATAAAGCCAGCAGCAATAGTCCTTTTTCTAGCTCTGACATTCTTTTCCCCTCACCTTAAGAACCTTACTATCTCCCTTCAGTCCCCCGCCCTTTTCTTATTCCTGTTAATCTTCCTCCTGCAAAAGCAACAACAAAAAACACTATTTTTAAAATGAAAAGCTAAAATCCTTCCACCCACCCCCCAACCACTTAAGCATGTGACTAATCATGAACAAAACATCTTAATTTAAACCTTGACTCAAGTCTCTGTGGAAGCTACTAATACTCAGTCCTACTCACTCTTCAAGGCACCTCCTTGTATTCCAGAATCGACCCACATAGTCTTGGGATTATTTTAAAGAAGCAAGTTATACTGCCCTCTTAACAGACTGAACTCAGGAAGAAGTACTGCAATCCTGTTCTCTGTTGTTTTTGGCAGTGACAAGTAAACTGCTCTAGCAAATTCTCAGACTGCTTAGTCTTCACACAGTGCCCCACTTTCCACAAAAGCTACTAGTATATGTTTATTGACGAGGTCTTAATTCCCTCAGGCCACAGAGCATAGAGGGCAGAATGTAATTTTGTGGCCTTGCAGCTCCACCAGCCCTGCTTATCACTTAACCATAAAGCAGTTGAGATTTCCTGAGAAAATTCTTTGTTTTTCTACTACTCCAAAATAGCGCAGAAGGCATACTAATGAACTCAATCATGGTTATTTCCTAGTCAACAAAAAATGCCACTTCATTTGTAATGTTAGTATCTAATTCCGAATGACATTTTAATTTTGCTAAAGGAATTGATGAGAAGTTGACACAAAAAAGGGAGAATGCTAACTGCTTGAATCCTTGGCCTGTAAGGAGCTCTGCTATCAGGCTGGGTGGACATTTCATCTCTTTTACTGAATGGACAAAGCAACTGATGTTATGACCACAGTGACTTTGTTTTCACCATTATCTCTGTCAGGGAATTCCTGAGGCCCCCTAGAGCGAATATACTGAAAACACACCATCACCATCACTTTTAAAATATTTTCTTGAGTTTGTAGTAAAAGCAGGGAGAAGAAAACTTCCTATTGATGTCACATGTTGCTGTCCTCTGTTTGCTGCTCACATCCACCCTATCCATAAGGTGGGGAAACTGTGGGTTGAATACATTATCAGTGCCTAACCCATGTGTCCTCCCATTCACCATTCGTGCACTTAATGAAAGCTTCTTGCTACAGAGTTACCTGAGGGCTTTCTTTGGCTGCAGGAGTGTGCTTACTTTTTCTGGGGGAAGTGCTGAGGACTTAACTACCCTGAGTAGTATCCCTCAATGAATCAATCACACACAGGGTTTCTGGGTAAATATTACAGCTTCCTGGGCTAGGGATGTGGCTCAAGTGGTAACGTGCTCGACTGGCATGCATGCGGCCCAGATTCGGTCCTCAACACCACATACAAACAAAGATGTTGTGTCCGCCGAAAACTAAAAAAAATAAATATTAAAAATTCTCTCTCTCTCTCTCTTTAAAAAAAATTACAGCTTCCTCATCCCTCAGGGGAGGACCTGTATTGAGATGTGTTCTTCCATTTCTCCCAAAGGTCTCCAGCAGGACTGAGCCACAGATGCCTAGAACAGTAACCTGATCATCAATCTGAGCTGTCTGCCTTCCCTGTCTCACTTTGTCACTGCCATACTGGTGCTTCCTGGGCTTTCTTCCCAAATAAATGCCTTGTATCTGAATCCTTGTTTCAGGGTCTGCTTCTGAGGAAACCCAACTTAAAACACTGGGGCACAGAGAAGATTAATGTCTGCTAAATACACATAGCTATTTAATGGAAAATCAGGGCTAGAACCCAAGTCTTTCTGTTTCTGGCACATGTATCAGATTGGGTTGCTTCTTGCTGATGACCAGCACCTTTTAGAATGGATCCTAGGACTTCTGAGCACAATGAAGATGCATAAATGAAACAAAATTGTTATATGGCTATTTTTGACCTTTTAGGGACCCAGTTAACACCATCAACAGGAGAAAAAAGAAAAATGAAGGGCAGTAATTACCTAGCATGACGAAAGGGACTCCCAGGAAGGTGGAATTGTATTTACCACCAGTAAGATTGATGATCCCAGCTGCAGTGAGAGTGGCTAGGCTTATGGTTACCAACCCAAGCAGGCCTAGCCAGGGTTTGCTGCGGACGCAGTCCTGCATAGAGCAGCAGAGGATGGCCATGGTGACTACCAGGATCAGGCTGGTGACCAGGTAACGTTCTGACACACGGCTGGTCTTCTGGAAATCTTCCCTCAGTGACGAGGATGTGTAAGGGTACATTTTGACTTTACTGTTGTATTTCTGGAACAGTTTGACAGTGTCGCAGAAGCTGGACTCCCACCTCTCAGCCACCATGTCATTGAGACTGTTGATTGACTGCAGGTAATAGGTGAGCTGAATGGCCTCTGCAGATTTCACCCGATCCTTGCTGTGTACAGTGACGCCCCCAAGCTGGTGCCCATTGTATACGGCCCTACCGTCCTTTAAGTGGGTGATCGGGTATGTGATAGCAAAATTGGTCCGATTTGTAGCCCGAGCATTCTTTAACTCTTCCAGGACATGTACTATGTCATCCACGATGCAAGTCTTATCATTATTCAGGATACATATGTGGGCAAACGTGTAATTAAAACCAGGCCTTGGAACCTGGATCTTGGTCACAGCAGCATGCAACTATGGGGAAAAAAAATAACAATCAGTATTTATTAAATAAAATTAGACATTAAGAAGTAACATTACTCTGAGTTCAAATATTTCCCTTGTGTTTTTGAAGGAGGGGATCATGTATTCCATCTGTAAGCCAAAATGTACAAATGAAATGTTGAAACCTTAGATCTGAAATGAGTTGAAGGGATGCAAAACACATGTTTGACCAGTGGTTTTCACAGTGTGGCCCCTGGACCAGCAGCATCAGCATAACCTTAGAGCTTATGAAGATTCTCAGGCCCTATTCCAGACCTAGTAAATCAGAATCTCTTAGGGTAGATCCTAGGATTTGGGTTTTCACAAGGCCTCCAGGGGTTCTGATGCAGTTAAAGTTCAACAAGTGTTACATCGAAGCACCAGCATTATTTCCACGTTATTATTTGTGACCCAGTTGGTCTATAATGTTTGACAATATTATAGGTCCCCTGTTCTGTCTTCCTCTGGAAAACATGATTTAAAAAGAAAATAAGGTACAATTCTGAATGCAGAGTTCCTCTGCAGTCCAGGCCACTGCTGGGAACTATAAATAATCTCCTCATCTAATCACTCTATACCATAATAGATAAGAATTTCACCTTGAGAGCCCTTGTATTCTTTGGTACTCCTTGTCTGCATATATGGGAAAGGAGACAAAATTGAAAAAGGCTGGCTGGGATCATGGGAATCATACTAAAAGAGCCCAGTAGGATTTACTCTACCCATTGCTTCCTGTCAAATTTACTATGCCCAGATAATGTATATGTCTACCATCAAAGTACATATGAGAATACAAACATTAGTTGAATAGCCCCTACTGCAGTGCTAGGTCTTTATGCAGATTAGCTTACTGGATTCTTATAGATAACTATAATGTAGTGTGAATACTAGCCTCATGTTTCTTTTGAGGAGATTGAGACAAAGAGAAGCCAAGTCACTTGCTAAGGTCACACATGTAATAAGAGGCAGGGCTAGGCTAAATCAGGCAGTCTGGCTCCAGAATCTGTGCTTTTCTAGCCCCTTAGCACACACCTCTAGGTTAGCAAAGCCAGCAGCTGAATAAGGGTTCTTGCCACCATTAATTCCTGCATTTGTGCTTTTAATGTATTGCCCCTAAAAGTTCAGATATGTAGGAATATGTGTAATCTAACTGAAAGATGAGAAAATATGGGTGTGGTGGTGGAGGGGGAGTAAGTGACTTAAATGAACTACTACCATGTGTTAGAGCTATATACCTTAAATTCTCTCAACAATTAATTTTACAGTTGAGAAAACTGGGGCTTGAGAAAACCCTGAAGATAGAGGTGGTAGGGTTAATTGCTGTCTTTTAAAATGTCATCATGTAACTGTTTAAGCTGTAGCTACCTACTTGGGTCCCCAATTTAGCTGTTTTGACCAGCCAGCTAGTCATTCTTATGGTAGCTTTGCCTTTTCTGTGTAAAATGTGGGCCAGTCTGCAAAATTAGGTCAGTGGCAGATATGTAGTTGAGTGTTAAGTAAATGAGTACATCTAGGACTGTGCCTAGCACTGAGTAGACTCTCCCCTTAGTGTCTCCATGACTTGGATATATTTTCTCTCAAATATGTTTTAGATTGATTAACTTGTTAAGATATTTTGCTGTGCATATGTCTGGGTGAGTGGGATATTATGCTTTTTTGAAAATGTCTGAGGGGCACCAGCTGTCGAAGTCCTTTAGTTAGCACAGGCAATGAGCTGTTAATCCAAATTCTCACTGTCCCCTTCCTCCATATCTCTGTAAGAGTGCCAAATTTGAGGTTTAGAAAATACTTTATTGAATTATGTTTAGCTGAAATATTTTGATATGTCTATCTCTGTCTGCCCCCCCAACTTCCCAGAGATACCTAAGAGGCTATTTTCACAACCCTAATTATATGGTAAATTTCTGGTTTTGTTTTTGGGATTAATAGTCGGCAATATGTCTTTCGGTGGTTCTGGACTGAAAAAAATGTGTTTTCATCTATTCTTCTTTAAGCATGTCCCAACAAATTTTGATTGAAAAGTTCCTGGGATTGAGGATAGATATGTATGTGTGTATGTATGTACATATCTATCTATCTATCTATCTATCTATCTATCTAGATATGTACATACATAGGATAGAGAACTTGCCTAGCGAACAAGATCCTGGATTTGATCCACAGTACTGGAAAAAAAGGCTAATTACAAAAATTTTCAAGATGTACATGGTTATTTTGGAAGAAGGAAGAATGAAGAAGAATTTAAATTTAAATATGAGGGAGTTTTGATTAGCATTAAAAGAAAGACTTTGGGGAAAGATTCATAATAGACTAGAAAAGGAGTGGTATTGAAAGCATGCATATGTGTAATATTTAGTGCATTGTTTGTTCCCATGAGCAGTGTAATAAATCTCCCTTAGAGTGATTACTAAATATGTCAAGAGTAAAAAGATTGCCAAATAAGATGGTGTAAAGCCACAGGGCTAAACCCAATTATAGCAAGGGGATATTTTCCATCCATTCTCTAAGGTGACCATGCCCTGCTGAGTGGGGAGTTATAAACTATTCGGTGATCTGCCAACTCTGCAGATCTACTGCTACAGACCCTTGGGGCCATACTCTGAAGTGCACATCATGTTCACCTCTGTACCATCATACAATAGAAGGGAGTCTTGGAAAATGAGAACCTTACTGAAATTTAAGAGGGAAGGTTTCTTAACTCTCAGCATCAGAGCTGCTGTGAGATGCAGCTGCCTTGAATTTCCAATGGAGTGGTGGGTAGGATGTGTGTCATTCTTGCTTCTGTGTGGCAGGGTGATGCAGAGTGACAAAGCAGACAGACAGGGGGTGTTGGCTGAAGCTTCTCATTGGGCAAGGGGAGTCTGTGGTATTCTTCAGTGGGATAAAAGGTGAGGAGATGATAAGGAATGGGAAGTGAGAGTTCAGACTCCTTTCTATGATTTCTCAAACAACTCAGTTCTGATCTTTGGTTCTCATGAATACATATCAAGCATACAATTCACTCTTGCATCTCTGTATAGTTGTAGTCATACATGCTGCATGTACTACCTAAACATTTGCCTGTACATGGTTTTAGAATGCCCTGATTTTCTTTCCGAAAGGAGCCCTGATCAGGACAGCAGAAACATTAGTAGATATTCTAAACTGTGAATATATACCAGATATATTCACAGGGGAAAAAGCAAGTCAGAGATCAAAGCTATGCTTCAGATAATCCACAAAATGTACAACCACAATTCACATAAGCTTATTATTAAATTGAGTAAGAGACTTTCAGAAAAAAAAGGGAAAATGACACAAAGGAAATAGTCCTGACCATTAATAGGGTTTGAATCTGTCATGTGAATCAGTGTATAATCTATGTTTGTCTGTTTAGATTCTAGTATTCACTCAATACACATTCAATAAGTACTCATAAAATCTGTGTTGTTAATATAATAGGATAAGTTCCCTGAATTTAGTGTGCTTGCACTTGTGCACTAAAAATCATGAGATACGATGTCCAAAAGAATGGGAAGATTCTAATAATAAACAACACTAAGCACTTTGTACCAGTAAAGTCCAATCAATGTCAATTCTTATTATGATATTTTTTATTATTTTTACTGATCATTATATTTTTTATTATTTTTGTATTTACTGCCAAAGAAGCCAGAACTGCAGGTTAAATTGGCATTCCATTCTAAGGTTCTAAACATACCATTTATATTGTTAGCTTTTTTTTGTTTGTTTTTATTTTTTATTATTTATTTATTTTTTTTCTTGACATATCATATTTCATACATTTGATTCAAGCATGTGATTCTGCAATATGTATACGGGGTAAAATGGGAGTTCATAGTCTGCTTGTTAGCTTCTTTGTTCTCTCATTCTTCAAGAATGATGATTGTAATACCAACTAGTCTACTAAGTATTTTCTATGTAGTTTTAAAAACTTATTCAATACTGGGGCTGAAGTTGGGGCTCAGTGGTACAGTACTTGCCTAACATGTGTGAGGCACTGGGTTCAATCCTCAGCACCACATAAAAATAAATAAAATGAAGGTATAGAAAATACAATAATGTTATAAAAAACTTTTTCAATACAAAGACACTATGGCAATGGTTAAATTGTAATCTCTATTTTGCAGTTGGAACAACGGTGGCTTAAAGAATTTCAATAAGTCACCTAAAAGGACCCAGTAAGTAAAGGGAAGCTATTCTTCAGATAATCCACAGAGGGTCTCCAACATACCCAAAGTAAAGAGCAGAAACCACATTGGAAGCCAAAATAATCAACAAAATTATAGGTACAGGATTCTAAATTAAGCCTTACTTCACGGAAGAAAAGTTAGCCCCAGACCAACACAGAATCAGCAGTGAGGATGAAGAGAAATTAAAGAATAATGAAGAATTGTCAGTCCACCTGGTTCAAATGACTGGTAGTGAAAATATCTGGTATGTAAGCCAACCATACTGCCAATCTGAGGTCTAATAAGGGCTAGAGATAATACAAACAGCCAAGCCTCATCTTTAGACAGCAGTATTACATAGTAGTTTTATTGGCAACTCCAGAGATTGGAAGGAAAATAAGAAAAGTCAGTAAACTCAAAACCCATTCCCTTCCAATCTCTGGAGTTGCCAAATAAAACTTTTTAGACAGACTTGCTAAGAAAAAAAGGCCATGGGACATAGTGGAATCCAGTCATAAGAGGTTTTGGCTTCCAATATGGTTTCTGTCTTTACCTTGGGTGTGTTGGAGACCTTAGACCTTAGGACTTCTACTTTTTCAGGACTGAGACTTCAAGTCTCAGATTTATCAGTGAAAAAAAAAAAGGTGTGGTTGGTCTATGTCATCTTTAAGGAAAAACCCTCCTAGTTCTAACACTACATAATTCTAAGATGAATGACATTCACAAACTATACAATCAGTTACTGGGTGAGAGAAAGTTAACTTCATAAATATCAATTTGATACTCATTACAGCTGCTTGAGGTATGCTTTTCTGACAT